ATCTATCTATCTGTCTGTCTATCAATAATCAATAATTGTATTCATTGTTTTTTACATGTGGAACTTCTGCATTTATGATTATATTGGAATCACACATATAGGACAATATTTTCCTTAAACTTGTTATGTGCTCTTATCTAGTTCATTTAGTTTTGCCAGATGTTCACACAGGTGCAAGCATCTGGTAACTCCACTAGATGGCATTGTCACCATGTAAATCACCGTTGCTGTGTGGAGGGGAGGGATGTCTGCAGGCGCTCCCCAAAAACTGCCCAAACTCTCAGCTGCTTTTCACCAGGAGACAACAGTCCTACAGCTCAAAGCTCAGTCGGGAAAAGTTTGACTGAAGTTTGCGCATAAAGCAAACCTCAGATATAGAGTGATGGGAGAAGCTGCGTGAAGAAAACAACAATATTTGACCGGAAAACAATAATTTAAAATAAAATTGCTTGCTTTCACAATAAAAGCATGGTGACTATTTTATTTGTGGTTGACTTAAAAGTTAAGTTTAGCAGATCTGAAAGGAGAAAAGATGGAACTGAATATATTTCAATCTGTAGACGAAACGCTTGACATCTTGTCTGGGAGATACTAAAAGAAATAGGTCTTTTTTTTTTTTTAGCAATTTCTATATAATAAATATTTATTTTAGATTGTATTTCCTGAACTCACTTTGATACTTTCCAAAAAAAAGTCCATAAAGTTTCAACATGCACATTTTATTCTGCACTGTGGTTTTATTTTACAGGTTTCCACCGGAAGTTGTCTTTTAGTCTTTGGCTCTTGACCCCGGCAGCTCCTGGGGTTTATTACTCTATTAAGGGGGGGATGTGTGTTTGCATCTCACTTTTTACACGCCCCTCTCGCTCTGACGCAAAGTGGGATAGACTCTGCGCGCTTTAGTTCAATCGGGCTACACTGACCAGGTTGACTGACTCCTGACGCCCAACAATGCAGACCGAGCCACAACAGTTTGGAAAGTTGTCTTTGCGCACGGGGCAGGCGGTGAGGGGTCTCAGGGGTGACAGCAGCATGGATCAGGCTACAAGTTTCTTCTCTGCATCCCTGTGGAAAGTGATTTGAAGAGTCAGGAGACATGAACAGCCTTGCCGCGGTGCCACAGGAGATCATTTAGTCTCTCCATACTGGATTTAGCACGAGCTCTGTTTACATCTGAACTCAGTTTTGAGGGCAATTTTCCTTTTTTATAACATTTCTTTTGCTTTCAGTCGACTTGTGTTTTGTTTGGTGCAACTTTTGGATAATCACCTACAGCGCGGAGTCACTTTTGGAGACGTTGGGTCGGAATTACGCACGGGATTCCCCAAACAAATGACAGCTTCTAAGTGGTTTGTTGCTCCCTCACTTCATCCCCTCAGCTCCCTGCATCGCACCGATCCACCGACCCCTCCCCAGGTTAGGTAGACGCGGGTAGTGAAAGCCTCTCTGTCTCTTCCAGTGCGCCGGCGTGCGGCCGCGGGCCACCTGGCCGAGGATGTGGGGAGGAGGTTTCCCGATGTATGTCACCGTGATTGTGACTCTACTCCTGGTCATTATCGACGTGAAAGCCAGCGGGGAGTATTGCCACGGCTGGCACGACTCCCAGGGCGTGTGGAAGGAAGGGTTCCAGTGTCCGGAGAAGATCGACGGGGAGGACGCGATCATCTGCTGCGGGAAATGCGAGCTGCGCTACTGCTGCTCCAGCACGGACGCACGGCTGGATCAGGGCAGCTGCGATAACGACCGGCAGGCTCAGGAGCCCGGGACAGAGAGCAAGGAGAACAAGGACTCCGGTGCAGGTACAAACCCAAAACTTCTACTGTTTCAGCAGCTTTTACTACAAATAGTACGCACGTTGATGTTCACATCAGTCATTAATATAAATAGTGTTAAGAAAACTGCAAAATAGGGCAAAATAAATGAGAAATTAGAAAAAACTTGTGGGGAAAAAAAATAGTTTTAGGGATTCTGATGACCTGGATGTTACTGGGAGGTCGTTGGAGGAGTATGGAGACTGTCACAATAAAAGCCTCCCTTACATACTGAAGTCTTCACTGTGATTTATGCCAGAGAAACACTGTGAAATACGTCCAGTACAACGTACCAAAAACTAGCTGACCTGTTGCTTCAGAGCACTGGTCCATGTAGTTTAGTCTCAGCCAGACCTTTGGTTTTTAAGGTTTATTCCAAATGAATTAAAGCCTGTAAGTGTGTTAACGCCATGCCCGAGGTGGACGCACAGGGTGTCTTAAATGTGATTGTAAATTTCAGACCTATTACAAGGCTCGGTTTCCTCTCATAAACCCAGCAGTCGCACAGTACCCCCC